CAGGTCATAAAAACATTGGATCCCAAGCAAAATGCAGGATCTCAACCTGAGGTGAATTGTTGTTTTCTCTCTGTGTTTCTTCCGTGTTGAGGTTGGTGATGCTATAACCGAATAAAATGAATTAGTGTAGGTAATCGTATGAATGTGAGTGCTATTAAGGATTTACACTACGAGTGATATTTGAAAACTCTCTCAAAATTGCAGAGGTTTTTATACGCGAAGTCGGTTCCTGGTCAGTCGATCAGCCCCTAGCCGGTTAGCCTCCAACCAGAAGTCGATTGGCCCTAATATTGTTATCAACTTCTGGTTGGGGGCTTAACAGTTAGGGGCTTATCGACTTTGGGTCTAAACGACCGGTTATCGATTACTGCAGTGCAAATTAAGAATTAACGATAAATTGGCCTGCTCTCAGCCAATCATAATGAAGAAATTTCTCAGTCATATAATAAATTTGGTAATCCCTGGCTTTTGCTGGGGGATACAGACGTCTGTTTTCGCACGTACACTTTTAACTTAACTGTCTCTAATGAACCAAGATGTAGTATTCTACTCTAACACAACAATAGAGTCTGGGACGATTTTTATTTTTCCGTTCTTCTGCATTGTACTTCTGTAGGTTCAACTGCTTAAAAATCAAGTCCAGGAAAAAGACAAAATTATAGAACATTTGGAGGTGAGTGGCCTTAGTGTTACTGGTCACAGAATTGAGGTAAATAGATAGATACCCTTTATTTTAAAACGATAAGAATTGAAGTTACGAAGCTTGTGGGGTCGTTTGTACCTAAAACTTAGTATCTATGACTAGAATATAGTTAGGTATAGCTAGGTTTATGGTGTGGTTGTTTTTAAACATGCGAAACGNACCAGCAAAACCAGAGGTTCTGAGAGCGAGATTGGCGTGGCGTGACGTGGCGTGTATTGATAGGTTTAAAAACTGAAGTCATTCTCATATTTGCCTTGATACTTTGATGACCAACCTATTTGACGCGTCTACAACTGTTTTTTACTCGCTCATCTATTTCTCTCATTTCGTCCGTTTCAACATAAACTGAGAGATTTAAAGGAGCTACGTCACGCTTTGCGCAAGTTGTTCTGTTGTAGTCCGTGCTAATCTTCTCCACCCTCAACCATCCTTCTTCCTTCTTGGTTTATTATTATCTCTTTGGTGTTTTTCTATCTTAGTAAACTATTATTTTCAGGTTTCCTTCAATTTAAAGGTAATTTTGTACGCGGCCAAAATAACTTTATTGAAAATACCGTGGCTGAGATCCTTTAAACCTTGACTGATAAGCACTTGGATTCATTTCTGTTTATTTGATGTTGGCGTCTTTGTTTCTTTGCAGCGAGATCATGAAAAGATGAAGATAACAAGAGAAAGAGAAGAGAAGCTAATAGTTAGCGCTTGGTATGAAATGGTAAGTATTTTCTCTGCCGGGTTTGACACAATTTCGTTGAACTTAAGGTGATTTCCTGTACGTCTAGGAAGGCACATCTTGAAAATGTTAAAATACTTGTTCGAAATCCACTTTAATTTTCC